CAGCTCTCGTTCGTTCCGCAGCGGACACGCGAATCTCCTCTCGGCAGTGACTCCACGCACGCACTTCTTCGCCATCCCTCCGCCCTGTCTTGTCTTCAACCCTTCCTCGGTCGACACGGTGCATCGTCGGTATCGTTGCTCGCGATCAACGCCGATGCTCGACGGGGTGAGAAAGAGAGAACCAGGGTTCCTGAGAGTGGATTGAGAAAAGCCAGAAGCGCCAGAAGCAACGCGGAGCTCAGAAGCTGGGAGCGTGAAGAGGCCGAGGGGAGTTTTCGAGACGCTGTCGAAGGAGTTTTCTCGGAAAGGAGATCGCGAGCGCCGCAATATAGTGAGTACGCAGCCTGCTTCGTACTTATAGATAAAGATACAGACGCGAGACGAACGTGGGCGCGGACCGTCGTCAGAATTCGCAAAGCCGAGTTGGGCAGGTATCTCACGTCGAGTGAAAGTTTATCGTAGAAAATGTATTACATTAAGATTCACGATTTATTAAAACTAAAATGTCCCCACTGAATCTGTTTAGTCAGGAAAAAATTTCTAGTGATTTTCTAATAATCGCCGTTCTTAGAAAGAATATGAATCATTTTCTGCTCAGCAGATCGGAGTAAAATTAACACTACAAGTACCAACGTTTTTCACTCATTAAAAGGATCAAATAAATAAATTAGTATGAAAATAAATAATAAAAAATCAAATATAAATATTTCATCAGTATAAAGAATATAATTATTGAAAAGTCAAAATGTTTCAAAATCTTATCTTTTACACAAGAAATATAATATTAATCTAAAAATGTATGTGAAAATCAAATTCGTAATGTGTAATAATAATATAATAAGATAAATGACCAAAAAACAAGTAAATACGCGATAAAAATATCATATTTTATTCTAAATTAATGTAAAACGTGTTTTGAACTCACAGAATCTCTCTCGGCAATGCTCCGAGTGAACATGCAAATTAACTGTATACATCAACAAACCGATAAGAAACATAACATGAACAAAAAGGTTATCGAAAGGCCATATTAGAAGTTTACACAAAATATAATAATTTATAAAATATGAAAACTTAAATTGAACTAATTGTAAGTAGTTATCGAATTTAAGTGGTGTAATCTATATTATAGATATTACTACTTTGACTATCAAAGAATTCTTCTCAGTATAAGTTTTTTATAATTTAATAAATTATTTATTATGTCATGTTTAGCTTCTAATGTAGCCTCTTGATAACCTTTTGTCTACGTTTATATATTATGTTTATCAGTCTGTTCATGTACTACATGGCTAATTTTCAAGTTCATTCGGAACATTGCTGATCGTAAGGAAGATTCTGTGATTCGAAACGCATTTTTTTATACCGTCATTAATTTTGATTAAAGTGTAATATTTTTATGACGTTCATATTTGTTCGTTTTTTACTTTTTACCTTATTACATTAATCTAAAAAAAACGGTTATTAATAATTCGATACTTCTAGTGTACAAACAGGATATTAATTTTCTATGTTAGAAATTAAACGAATTGACGCGGCTAATAATAATAATAGTAACGACAGTAAAAAACGTGATTGATTTAATGATGAAAACGCAGACAAACGTGCAGGCTAGTAGCTACATTGCGGAAATGGGCGAAAATGTATACGCGTCATCGAAGCAACCAGGGACCAGGGCGATGACGCGCACGATATATCGATAAGCTACGAGGTTTTGCTCGCGTGCGTGCGTACGAGCGGGAAGACATCGTTCGGGAATGCAACTTTAATTGGTATTGCCTCGTTGGTCGATTAAAGCAGACTCGTGCCATATATTTCTCGATGCGTTCGATCGCGGTCGCACGAACCGAACGCGAGTCTTCGATAGAAAATTTTTATTTGGCGAAGCACGCTCTTTCCGATAATACTATATAGCGAATATATTTTATTTTCCGAATGAACATTATTTTTTCCAATAATATTAAATAGCGGATATATTAAGTACATCTTTAGATACATTCGCGACAAGCTAACGCGATGTAATAAAATCGTCAAGATAAAAATCGCCGACAAGTAATTAAACAACTTCATGAACCTTAACCTTGAAGGTTGAACGACGATTTAATTGCTATCCCTTTTCGTTTTATTACTAGTAAAGTCGTTCTCCGTGCCGCTATATAATGAGAGAGCGCGCAGGTAACGATTAAGAAACACGGCAAGGTGATCGGTTAATTGATCGACTAATTAATTTGGAACGCAGAGAGATTCTACCACGATACGGCCGGCAACTTCTCTTCGTGACTCTCATCGCGTTTCGAAGGTATAGCTAAATCGTATTAAAAAGTAACTTTCAACAAAAATCGACTTTACACTACCTAAAGTACAAAGTGATTAATTCGTTGCACTCTATCCGTGCAAGACATGGTGAAGTTTACCCCCTATGCGTCCCTCGACCAGACCAGGCAGCTTATTTGGCAGGCGGGAGAAAGGGGGAGGTAATTTATTCCGGCTTTACTTAATCTCTTCCCTCGCGTGTCTCGACGGCTCTCGGTCGAGTCTTCTTTAATCCAAATTCCAGATCGAGAAAGGGAACGCGCGCGCGCCCGCGACCGACAAAGAGGGGAGAGAGAGAGGGGGAGGGAGGGGGAGAAAGAGAGAGAGAGAGAGAGAAATCTAGAAACGCGCGCGTCCGTCGAGATCCCCCGACGATGAATCAGATTATCGTCGGGAGTAAATCGGCGGGCTTGCGACTCCGCGATCATTTGCCGCGCTTCGTTTTCTGGCTCTACGACGCTAAGCGTTTCGTAAAGTAATGGTGTTTTGGGGAGCACTTAATCTCCGGCTAAGACTAAGTCTCTCGACTAAGTTGGCGCCGTAGTGGAATGGAACACGCTCGAGTTTCAGTTATCCCAAGATAATTCTTTCCTCCGGCCCCTTGACTCGATACAAAAATAATCATTTAGCTTCATCGTGCAGCTTTTTCTTAAATTATAAACCGGTAGTTGAGCAGCGTACAGATTGGATGGACTGCGGAGAAGTGCCGCGAGAGATTGTCTTGAGCGAATCATAAAGCGAGTAACAGTGTTCGCTTCCGGTGTTTACACGAGCAAAACGCCGCGAGCGAGCAGGTCCGCGCGAACGATAATATACACGCTCCAGATGAATTACACGCGCGTTTCTTTACCTCCCGTATTGTCCACGATCGCGTGGCTCGCATGAGTCTTTCTTGCATCCGGTGATGTCCAGGCTGCCTCTTGTGAAATTGCTGATTAACGTCTCCTTCTGAGACAAAAAAAGATTCCGACAGTTCGTTTCATCCAACTCCAAACAATATCTATTTCACATACGTCCTTAAATGTTTCTGTGAGGCTAAAAAAAGCGCGAATTATACTCATTTTACCAATGTAAATTTTAACTATAATTTCGGTTTAATTTACTCTTCATTTTTTTTTATTTTTAAAATCTCGAAAGAGATTGAAAGTTAAATCGAGACAAATACAGGGTTGCTACAAATTTTTCGTCCCAAAATTCCCTGATATTTCCCTGATTTCCAGACAAAATTTTCTGATTTTCCCTGACTTTCAATAATACATATTTTGAAATTTTTTTTTATTTTCATCCTAATTTGAAAATCTCTCTCATTAAATATTTTGTTGATAGAGCAATTTAACATAACAATGTAAATTACTATTAATGTTGCTGACACTGCATTTAATTGTTGAGTTAGTAGTATTTTTTATCTTTTCCTTTTATGTATTAACACGAGTCTTTTCCTCTTCCTCTCTTTCTCTTTGCTGCTGTTTATTAGCAATAAAGAGAAAACAGCAAGAGAAAGAGAGGAGAATAAGGAACATAAATCAATAAATACAGTTTCTATTTTATCAAAACTAAATCCTGTTTATTAAAATCTCAATCTACTATTATAAAGGCTATTCTTACCCCCACTACGCGTTATCAAGTAGTAGCGCAAGTCGTGAACTAAACGCAACGTGAACTAAACGCACGTAACTAAAATTGCGTGTCTGTGATGTACGCATATTTTAAACTTCTTTACAGCCATTTTATTTTTCCAGAAAATTTTGCTAAATCCCAGACTTTTCCATGACTTCCCTGATTTCCCTGACTTGTGGCAACCCTGAAATATTATTCTACATTGATGGGCATTAAGCAAACGTTGTCCGAGCAAAAGTCGAAGCTCTGACTGGAGTTTTCTCAATGCAAACGTCCTCGAACGGTAAGAACCGTTCAACATATGTACACACTGCGGCTTATTGTGTGCCTCAGTCCTTCATCCTTTTGATTCTATCTTGCTCACTTCGCTTTGTACATCAAAGTATATCCATAAAGGATTTATTTCATGAATACGAAACGAAGAGAAGAGGTTCGGAAAGGTGTCGAATATCGAAAGCAAGAAAGAGAAAGGACGATCGAAGTAGGAGATAAGATTAAAATTGCAAGTAAACTCGTAAGAAGCAAGCTACGATTTATTTGACGCGTCGCCCCGACTACGGGCGAGCTAGAGTGGTTTATTTTATAAGACCAGATTGCTGGCCTCGCTCTGCCGGAATAGAATAATGAACGTTTCTCTCCATCCTTCGTAGTACAACCTCCTCCTTCTCCTCCTTCATCGTCCAAGCGCGGAATTTCCTCCCCCTCGCTCTTTCTACCCTTCTTCACGAAAGTCGAGTGTCGTTCAAGAACGCTCTTCGTATTGGATCATGCGGTGGTCACGGCTCTCCCTTTCTCGTCAAGCGAGATTGAAACAGAACTTTTTTTTTCGTCAAGAGTAATGTAGTAGAAAGAATATATGCAAGTTTCACGCCGATTCAGTAACCTTGTAATAGATTTTTATCTCGAGTCAAAAACTGCCCTCGCAATTTATAGATCTCTGTATTCAAAATGCGCTGGGTTGGAAAATTAATTCAGGACGGGTATAAGACCATTCTCTGGCCGGTTTCTTCCTCGCAATGCCGCATTTTATTGATCAAGCGTTCGTCATGAGATCGAATTAACGATAATGCCCGTTAAAGCGAGTTACATAGTTAATCCTTTGCGCATACAGAACGTACCGCTAAATCACTCGGTAATCATGTTGAAGAGACGGTACCTGATTACATTCGAAGAGAATTTCAAATAAGAACTTACCGGTCATGAAGCGATAACTCTTTTGGCGCCGTCCGTCGCAAAATCGTCGAAGCACAAGAGATCTTGTAGCTGGACGTGGCACTTATTTCATCCTCTTGCTTCAGATCGACTTTGTGTAGATCCTGAAAGCAAAAAGTCTACGATTAAAGCACGATAGATTATTATAACTGATATATGTATTTGATCACTAATGCACTAGCTAATTAA